AGCTGCTATCTTAATTCTGCCGCAGCTTAGCGCTGCTGATGAGCTCCCCAAATCCCTGCTTCATTCTGCCAGCAAGAATCCTCATCTGATCTTCAACCACTGGGCTGATGCATTCACAACCACCAAAAAAACAAAACAAAAAAAAAAAAACGTTGTGGTCACCCCATGCCCCTAACACCCCCAAGGGCACTTCAAGCAATACATTATTCAGTTATTCACTACTTTTTGTGGCTCTAAGCAACAGGTGCTAAAAATGACATTTTCAGATGGATGGATTGCTCATTAACATGCTTTTTAAACTTGCTGCAAAATGAGGTTGGGACTGCTGAATATTACATATATAATAACTTATTAATCCATACCACCGGCACAATGTTCACCTCCGGGCAGGGAAACACCCTGTACAAGGAGCCAATCCATCGCCTGGCCAGCACCCACATACGCATCAATAATAATAAAAATGGCAATCCATGAACACTCTGAGTATATAGTATATATCACATATACATTTTCCATCCTTCTTTTAGCTGCTTATCCAGTGCAGGGTTATGGGGGGGGGGTGGTGGTGGCTTATTTGGTTTAATTTATATGCAAGTTTACAGAATGTACAACCCAGCCAAGGAAAAATTCACAGAATTATTTCGTTAACTCGCTCTGCGAAAAGGCCCAGTGTTGCCAAAAAAATCTGTAATGCAGCCTAAAACTGAATTGATCGTCAGAAAACCTGTCATAAACTTTTCAACGTTAGTTTACCTGCTGCGATGTTTTCGATGTGAAAAAGTTCGCAGACGTCTGTATATTTCGGATTGTCTGCGAAAGACGTCAAAATGGCAAGTTACGGTACCAGTAGCCGCGGATTATCTGGTGTTGCGCATTTATGAAAACCAGTGATCAGAGGCAACTGTAATTCGTGACATATATCTTATTGTGAACTACAGAGTTCATCATTTCCTGTTTGATGAGCTGTATATCGCAGGTCTTTTTTCGCCAGTGGTCCTCAATGCGAGGCCTGCGGGCCACTGGCGCCCCCCAGAGGCCAGTATGGCAGCCCGTAATTGAATAAAAAAAAAAAAGCAAACTATCCTGACCATCAGATTTATTAATTTTTAAATTGGTACTTTTTAAATTTGAAAATTATTTTTTATTCTACACGCAATACGACTTCCCCAGTAACGTGCAGCTACTGTACGTAGTCACCTAACAATCAAGTGAAGCAGCAGCAAGATTACTTCTGGCTAGCCAGCTTTTAAAAAGTAAACAGTGGCCCCCCAGCCCCCCTGTACACTGGTAAGCGTGGCCCTCGTCTAAAATTCAGTGAACGCTGTTTTATGCTGTTCAACAGCTACAATTCTACGAGTACAATCTGCACTAAATATGTAGCAGTGCTTTGATATTGAAAATACATTTGTATTTTCCAACTATATCAACTGAGAATTAGTCAATTTCTTCCTGGGGAATGGAGGGTTTAGCTGTTAGCTTAAAAAAAAAACATAAAAATAGTGCAATTATACATTGGGGGAAAGAAATGCTGAAACATTTTTTTCATTAAAGATGACGTGTCCTAGTCAATAACCAGACTTAGCCCAGACTGAACATTTATAGAAGGAACTGAAGATCAAGATACACCAGCAGGGCCCCCGGAATCTAAAGGATTTAAAGACTGTCTGTGTAGAAGAATGAAGCAAAATCTCAACCTGGACCTACACTCTGAGAGATTAGCTTCTTTGTACGGAAGGGGTCTTGAAGCTGTCATAGCAAACAAAGGCTTCTCCACCAAACATGAAGTACATTTCAGTTAGTGTGTTTGGTACTTTTTTTTTCCTGTGTCATTCCACTTTATAGCTTTATTTATGGAATAGAATGTAATGTTTTCTTTAGTCATGTCGTTTTATTGAGTTCTTACCAATGACTGCTCTAAATAGCAAGCGAACAGCTGCATTGGAGGCATGTTAAATGCGAAAAATGTTGATGAGTTTAATACTTGATTCCCCCCACTGTAGATGAATACAAATTAAGTATGCATTTTCATAAACGCATAACAGCACTAAAGAGGGGGGGTGGTGCAGTGGTGTAACACTGGTGCCTCACATCTCTGGGACCAGGGTTCGAAAATCCATCCTGACTCCACATGTGTGGAGTTATTATGCTTTTACACTCCCCCCGAGTTGCCAAGGGGGGCTTCCACCAGGCTCTCCGGTTTCCTCCCACAGTCCAAAAACATGCTGAGGTGACCTGGAGTTATTCCCTGCCTTGTGCCTGTAGCTTCCAAGATAGGCTCCAGACCCCTGCTACCTTTTATAAGACAAATGGATACAGAAATCAGATGGATAGTCGATCATGTGTGAGAAAAGCCTTGGCACTAAGAAGGGCTTTTGCAGCTTTAGAAGAGCTGAGGGTCACATCCCAGAATGTGGGTTTCTTTTATTATAAAAGCTCCCGAGCCACGTGGAATACAACAAAGCAAAATGCTCTTAAACAGCACAGGTAATAAAAATAACGATCCAGCGCTTTCAAGCCGTCTGTATCTTGGTTGGCCATTGAAACTGGCAAAAATCAAAAGTACAGCTACTGCACAGAGAACATTTACAAAGAGATTTTATTTCCAAACTCCGTGTTATTAATCAGTTTAATCTGTTATGGTCACATCTTTACTAATTCATAATTAAATAAAACATGGGATGACGAAGTTCAATTTCATTAAAAGCTGCGACGCTAATTTTTATCACAAAGTTTGCAAACTTGTATCTCTCCAACAGTTTTATTATTAATCAAGGCAGATGTAAGTGCTGATTACCATATCCCAGCTGTGAGGAAAAAAAAAACATGTTCATTTCATAATCTAATTTAACACAAAAGACCTTTTTTTGTAATTGTAAATGTAATTTTTCAAAGAGACAGGAATTTGTTAGGAGTGTCAAAAGTCAAGAGATCTTTGTTACTGAAAAGTTTACAATTTAATTATGCGTATGGTACGTCTGTCAAGCAATGACAATTCAATCTGCTCCCCCCATCCCTCCCCACCATTTCCGACCTGATGACTGAGTCTCTCTCTTTTTAAGAAGGCTGCTCAGATAAGTGGCTTGACCAATGACGCGAGACAATGCTGACAGACACACTGCCCTCTGCTGTCGTCACTATAAGCACGAGACGTGCGACCTGGAAACAAGCCCTGAAGGTCTACTTTCTCCACTATTGATGAAAACATTTCATGGGATCAACGCGTGTTAAATGCCACAGGAGGCCCGGAGCGGAGCTTTTTCCATCACTCACCGCGGCCCACAACCGAGGATCTTTGCATCCATCTGCCGCGTCACACATAAATCACTTATAATTACTGCAGGCCAGGGTCACCGATGCCACGCGAGTTATCAAAGGTACGGCAGCCGATGAATCGACAGAAGCTAATTGCCTGTAAATTCTACTTTGCAGGCGTGATCACTCTGTTCTTGATTTGCATTTATTTGTATTCTGCTTATGCTTTTAAAGACAGCGTCGTACTGTACGAACCAAACAAAAATAAGTGATTTGGTGGACAATTAATGCTGCACTTTTACTTAAACATGACCTGACAGCTCTGAATAAAATTTTACATAATTTATTTGCCATGGCGTCCAACTTCAGAGCTCGCGATTTCACGCGTCACTCATTAATAGACCGATGCATTTGTTCCCTCGACTGAAGTTAAGGACATACTCCAGGGAGGTAAAGAGTCATTCTCCGAGGTAATTAAACTTGGAGCTTTCTGGTCAAAAGTCCCATTCTATTATGTTACTGCTACACATTCACCAGGGCCAGCGTGCTAAAACAAGCTGCTAGCTATTTCGGTGTTGAGATAACTGTGCAAATCGTAAAGAGCTAAATATGCTTCATTTGTCTAAGACGAAGACAGCATCTCTGGGCTTCTATGCCAACAGGGGAAGTGCCGCCATTAGCATGCAATTGTAAACTGTACAGGATAGCACTCCATCAACATAAGTAAGTAGCTGTATTTAATAATTATTCATCTTAATAGTACATTTTCACTATTTCTGGTGCATCATTATTCCTCACAAAAATAACGGTGTCTTATAAAAATGCACTAAATCAAGGGCAGCACAATAACTAGCAATCTTTTCCCCTTATTGTTTCCCAGCGCACCTTCTGTCTCCCCCCAGAACACCATTAGATCAGAGTGTTCAGTTTACAGCTTATCATCACAATACAATCTGATGGCGAAAAATCGCTCTTATTATCGCACCGTTTGTGAACAGCACTTCATACGCGAGGCTTCAGCATAACCTACCATTTATGCCAGTGGCTTTGACACACGTCATGGTCTCTTTCCACTCATTAGAAATCAAGTTATTTGTCACTGGACATCGACCTACCACTACTGTCAGTTTGCAAAGTCGAGACAAAAAAGGCACTTAGAATCAAACAGAACACCAGACAAATAAATATGCTACCCAGATAGTTCAACTGATACTCACCATTTTTGCAAAACACTGTAATGGATTTCAAAATGAAAAAAAAAAAAATTGCTTTTTTGGTGTTGTAAATACAGAGCAAGTCATTATTTGATATAATATTCGCAGTACCTCACTGAAATTTGCAGCTCTTGAAATTCAAACTGCAAATAGAGCTCAAGGAAAGTTTGAAATGTTTGATATCTCCTTCTGATATCAGTATCTCAAACTGGAGAGAATTACCTTAATGCTAAAGTGTAATTTCCTCATCCAAAGCCTATTGGTATGTCCATGTGCATAGTGGTGGGAGTCTGACATATGAAATAATCAGAGATGGAAATCTCAAGTCTATAAAGTACAAATCAAGACCAAGTTTTTGTTCCAACCAACCAGTTGAGCATAAAGAGTTGAAGTCACATGGTACTCAACAGGTTGGTTAAAATAAAAACTTGGCTTAGATTTCAACTTTCTGGACCTGAACTACCCACCTCTGTAAATAATGGCATCATCAGTATTATGACAGTTTCTGACTCAGACAGAGGTGTGAAGGCTTACGGGGTCGGTGAGCTCTGGGATGGCGGCCCGGTACGTGATGGGGTTGCAGTCCCGCGTGTTGTTGACCAGAGTGCATGGAAGGAACATGGGCCCCAAGTCGTCCCCGTCAAGCACGTCTACGGTGAGCGTGGTGGTGGCTGTGAGCCTGTCTTTGGGGTACGGGGCACGGTCCTGCAGGAAAGGGTTACTGTGAGAACCCAGAAGGCCTCGACATCTCCGTAGAACAAAAAATGGTCAGAAAGAAATGGGCAAGTAACTTCCTCAGGTAAAAAATTCTAAAAATCCTGTTCTTGCACATCTCCTGCGCAGCTCGAAATATGCAAGTAAGTAGTTAAGAAGTAAGCAAAAGAACAGGAGCAGTAAATAGAAAAATATACTTTTCAAATTAAAACTAACACCACATTTCCCTATGGCTGTTTTGTCCTGCTGAAAAATAAAATTGAAAAACAAAACAAAAGTAAATAATAAGTAAAAGGGAAATGGAAAAGTAAACACTGAGTTACAGCAGTGACAACAGATCCTACTGAAAAATTGAACCCTGCCAAGAAAAATATGTGCTGCCGGGGGGGGGGGGGGGGGGGTGGCTCATCAGAGGAGTCTCCACAGAAAATCTCCCCACGCGAAGCCCTGCCGAGGAATGACAGCTGCCTCATGCCACTCCTGCAGTACATGACGCACTGCATTTCAGCAACTTGCCTTCCCATACGAAAAAGGGGGTTAAAGGAACAGAATCATTTATTATCGGTGAATTCTTCACACTACAACTGTAATAAAACATCGGAGCCACATATAAGAAATTGCTGTGTCATGAGAACGTTTGTGCTGTGTCACACAAAAAACTTATAATAAAAAAACACCCAATACGAACAATAGTTTATGTGCCAAGCGGAAAGAAATGACTTAACATCCTCAGAAGGAGTTCCAGATGTCCCGGTTTGCAGATGCAAATCAAAAAATAAGAATTTAACTTAATTGCATCACCATGACATTTTTTTCTCTTAATGCACAATATTAAGTGACTATAGATTTCTCATACTCTGCAAAAAGGCAAAGCCATCCTTGAAATTACTAAAATACGTTTATGGCAGGAAATGTATTTATTATTGTTACCTATCACAAGTATACAGTACATAAATACATACTGTATACAGTACATAAATACATACTGTATACAGTACATAAATACATACTGTATACAGTACATAAATACATACAGTACTGTATGCACATAAACGC